GTTTTAGTTTCTTATTTGGGTTTTAAAGGTAGGACCCATGGGCTGCAAAATGCGGAAACTTACCAAAACAACCAAACATCACCACCTTGAACGTGTGGATGCGGCTCGACAAACGTATTTGGGCGAAACGATAAACAACTCAACTCCGAGAGCGTCAAATGGCGCTCTCCATGGTTCGCAAAGCCTGGCAGCCAACCAGAACAACAAGTAAACATCAGTAGCTTGCCGCAGTAGTTTGGCAGAAACCTTCAAATTCCCAACGTCGAAATGTCGAAATCGTAAATGCGACCTACGCTGACAGCTGACGTTTGTTGGCTAGATTTCAGAAGTAAGGCCCACGCCTTGCAAATGCGAGTGCCCACTAAAGCACGCACACACATCACCAACTTGTCATTTGGGGCCGAAGTTGCACTAAGCTATAGCTCAGAATGTCAAACGAAACAGGTTAATGCTGACTTGGCGAAAATGAATTTCAAGGTCAAATGCTTGGTTTGCAAACCCTTGCTAACCCATCGTTGTGGATTGACACAGTTGGACTTAGTTCTCCCCAGGCCCTGAAGGTGTCGACTGTAACTGCAACCAATCATGACAAGGGAGCATGAGGGAGCAGGGCTTGCGATTTTGCATTCCTCACGCGAGTTCAGTTAACGTTGGCTGCTGGCATCCTTTGCTACTTGCTTTGCTGCCTGGGCACAAGGTGATGCTGTGAGGAGTCGCGAGGAGTGCCAAATGCAAGCCCTGCCCCCTCCAATATGTTTTGTTTATGTGTGCCTTGAAATGGGGCTCAAACGCACTTAGTATCAGTGTGTTTCAGTAAGACTGTCACCACTTCATACAATTTATCAGTTGGTGTCAGCACACATGTTCACAAGTACTGTTCAAGTATTGTTAGCAAATGAGACGATGTGTCATATTGTATTTTGATTCTATCTGATACCAACAACTGATACAGACTGATACCAACTGACAACAACTGACAACCGCTGATAACCACTGATTCTGACTGATCAGCGCTGCCACTGTACACCATCATGAGCGAGTTCAAGGCGCAGTAGTGTCGAACCGCGTCTTGTCAAACACGCAAACGCGCGTGTAAACACCTGAAACTAGACCCAGTGACAAAACAGTGGTCCGCCAACATGGCATCGTTGGAGCTGGGTGTTTCTCTGTCAACTCACCAAGGCAGTTGCCGAGGGCTTGCCATTTTTTGCGCACCATGGATTCCCGCTTTAACACCTGACGCCCGCCAACCCAAGCTCACAGTCAACACACACCCACACGTTTGCGACACTGTCGAGGTGGGGGGTTCAAGGGCGTAGTGTGGCCCATCTCTGCCAAACCGCAACGCCAGTGTTTTGATGTTCAGTTGTTTTCGCGGCCTCCCAGGCTTTGCGCAAAATATGGGTTTTACTGTTTACAACCCAACAGATTCAAAACACTCACAGGCAAGATAAGTGTGATGTCTAACTTTGGAGCTGGCGATTGCAGTGATTGAAGCTCAGTTGGATGTTTTTGCTTCCACACTATGCCAACCACGGATCGCGCCTTCAAACGCCATCCATGCACTGTCAGTGTTAAAACAACGGGATTAAAAGAACAAACAAACTTTGGGAAGTCAGAATTGCGAGAGTTTAGCCCAACGCTTCCGCTTCCAATCCACAGGGACAAGTTCTCGATGCTTGTTTGTTTTTGTGAGCTTCCAAGCTTCGTAACCCATGGGTGTGAACTTGCAACGAAAAAGCGGGCAATCAACACACACGTGGGTTTGACACTTTCGCAGTTGGGGGTTGCCAGAGTTTAGCCGCAACCCGAGTCTGGCAAACTTTGCTGGGGCTCGGTTGCGTTTTGGGCCTGGAAAAACGGGAACTTCACCTTCAAGACAAACTGAAACGAGAACGCAAACAGACAACCCGCAAATGTCGTTTGACAACTTGGGGTTAGGGAGTCAGAGCCCGTTTCTAGAACACCACAACGACAAGTTGTTGATGCCCGCTTGTTTTGGCCGGCTTCCACATGTCACTTCATCTGCAAAAAAACCAAAGATTTTCGGATGCGGTTGGCGGTTGCCGGGGAGCCAGTCTGTCAGGAAACATAGAATTGTTTCTCATTACGCAAAACACTTAGGCTAACTTGTTACGAAGGCAAGCTAGGCCCAGCTACGTTTAGGTTTGTAGCTTGTTCCAAGCGCAGTAGGCACATATAAGTCCAGCGTCTCCCCTCAGTGTATCCACTTACAGGATTTCGTAAGTGCGGCTGGCCCAGCGGTCCGAACTTATAACCGGCTTACGCGCATTATACTACTCTACAACCAATTTAAAAAGTAGCATGGGGGGTCGCGCGCTCCTGTTCTGATCCGCAAAAACACGAGTTTTTCCTGGTCCGGTTGTCAAAAACCGCTCGAACTTCTGGAAGACGCGTGTAATTAATTATATCTAGTTACCGCAGCTTAGCTTCTGGTCGCGTGTAAGTGAAGTGTGTCCCTTTTGCTGCGTCGGGCGCAGCGTCGGGCGGAGGGCTTAGCGCCGGGCGCAGCGCGGCTCGCGTCCGGCACGCGTTGCGCAGGGGGCTCTGCGGCGGGCGCAGTGCTGGAGGGGTTCCTCGTTGAGTGTCGTGGCGAGGGCGGGGTCGGCGCGGGGAGCGCGTGCGTTGGGGTGTGGCGTCGGACGGGCTTGCCTGAGCCGAAGCGTCCCCGACGCCAAGCACCAGCCCAACAGCCACGCTGGCCCACCAACCCAAAGCAACCCGGCACGAACACTCCGAACCAAGCGCTCCAAAACACGCTCTCCCGCAAGCGTCTGTGACCGCCCGATGCCATCTGCGAAAACAATGCGTGCTGCGACATGTTGCGCAAATAGACAACAACTGGAACAATTACGATGTGTCCCGGAAGCAACATGATAGGCCACTGTCTTTGCCCGTGTCTCGGGCGTTGTTTCCGCATGCTCCGCGTCCTCGACGCGCACTCCTCCTCCGCCGCCTCCGCCTCCTCAACTGACACTCACTTACTTTGCCACACTAACTTGCACACAACTCAACTTACAAACTTACACTCACTGACTTTGCCACACTAACTCACACACACTCAACTTACACTCATTGACTTTGTCATACTTACTCTCACACACTCAACTTACGCTCACTGACTTTGCCAACTAACTGTCACACACTCAACTTACATTATACAACACACCCAACTAAATGTCACACTCAACTAACTGTCATACTGTCACACACTTGATATTACCTTGCGAAGGTTGGCCGCCGTGGGGCGGCGGTCTTCTTGCGTGGCAGGCGCAATACTTTCTGCACTCCGATGCTGTTTCGCGTGGCAGGCGCAGTGCTCTCTGCACTGGTGCTGTTTCGCGTGGCAGGCGCAGTGCTTTGTTTTACCTTGCGGAGGTTGGCCGCCGTGGGGCGGCGGTCTTCTTGCGTGGCAGGCGCAATACTTTCTGTACTGCGATGCTGTTTCGCGTGGCAGGCGCAGTGCTCTCTGCACTCTGGTGCTGTTTCGCGTGGCAGGCACAGTACTTTTATTTACCTTGCGGAGGTTGGCTGCCGTGGGGCGGCGGTTTTCTTGCGTGGCAGGCGCAACACTTTCTGTACTGCGATGCTGTTTCGCGTGGCAGGCGCAGTAGTTTGTGCATTCGGGCGCTGGCCGGTTTTGATTCCCCACATCATAGCGCGGGGTTCTTGTTTTTACTGTCTTCGCCCGTGTCTCGCGCGTTGTCTCCGCATGCTCCGCGTCCTCGACGCATACTCCTCCTCCGCCGCCTCCGCCTCCTCAACTTACACTCACTGACTTTGCCACACGAACTCGCGCACACTCAACTTACACTCGCTGAGTTTGTCACACTTTGCCTGGCAGGCGCAGTAGTTTCTGCACTCCAGGCGCAGTACTTCATATTACCTTGCGAACGTTGGCCGCCGTGGGGCGCCGGTCTTCTTGCGTGGCAGGCGCAGCACTTTCTGTACTGCGATGCTGTTTCGCGTGGCAGGCGTGGTAGTTTGTGCATTCGGGTGCTGGCCGGTTTGATTCCCCACATCATTGTGCGGGGTTCTTGTTTTTACTGTCTTCGCCCGTGTCTCGCGCGTTGTCTCCGCATGCTTCGCGTCCTCGACGCGTACTCCTCCTCCGCCGCCTCCGCCTCCTCAACTTACACTCACTGACTTTGCCACACTAACTTGCACACAACTCAACTTACAAACTTACACTCACTGACTTTGCCACACTAACTCGCACACACTCAACTTACACTCATTGACTTTGTCATACTTACTCTCACACACTCAACTTACGCTCACTGACTTTGCCAACAATACCACACGCCAAACTAAACGTCACACTCCACGAACTGTCATACTGTCACGCACTTGATATTGCCTTGCGAAGGTTGCCGCCGTGGGGCGGCGGTCTTCTTGCGTGGCAGGCGCACTACTTTCTGCACTCCGATGCTGTTTCGCGTGGCAGGCGCAGTGCTCTCTGCACTGGTGCTGTTTCGCGTGGCAGGCGCAGTACTTTGTTTTACCTTGCGGAGGTTGGCCACCGTGGGGCGGCGGTCTTCTTGCGTGGCAGGCGGGCGCAGTGGAAAAAAGGGCACAGTGCCATCTGCGCGACGAAAAAAATAGAGTATGTGGGGGGTATCCGGCCCTTTAATTTTGCTTGTGCGCCGAGCGGGCCCGAGAGAGAAAGGGGGAGAGACAGAGAGAGAGAGAGAGAGAGAGAGAGAGAGAGAGAGAGAGAGAGAGAGAGAGAGAGAGAGAGAGAGAGAGAGAGAGAGAGCATCGCCGCAACAATCTAGCACTTTTGGTGGATGGTGCCCGGGTAGCCCTAGGTACACGCTTCCAAGTTACATTCCGCCAGGTGCCCCAAAACCCCTCAGACCCCAAGGCCGCTCCGGTTCTAGGGTTGGCAAAAGCCGTCCGGGAAATGTGCGCCTGCGGGCAGAAAGATGACCATCAAGTGTGTCAGTTCCAGGCGGCGGGCTAACTCAAAGCCCGAGGCTCCAAGGCGGACGCTCCGATGTTCTGCTGCGAGCCTCAGGAGCCAAAGTTCCTCTGTTGAAATTTCAGGTTGGCGTATTTGGAAATCCTCAACTCGGAAATAGAGGGACCGAAGCCAGGGTATTTGCCCAATTGAATTCTTTGCGAATGCTCTTCAGCTCCTGTTTTTTTTTGGGGGGGTTCCTACCTTCATTGTGCGCCGGTTCCTCTTGGATCCACACTGACCACTGCCGTAAGTTTTTCCGGTTGCGCCCTGATTGGAGGACCACGAGCTGGCGCACGCCCTGGACCAGAGTTTGGTGAGCCGGTGCTCCGCAGCGCTCACCGACCAGGAGAAGGCGGGCGTTGAGAGTTCGCCAAGATCTTGGCAGGAATGGAGGCCTTTTCTGAGCTTCTCTTGTTTGGCTTTTTGCTTTGGGATTTACGGCGGGGTAAGCAGGTTTGGTGTGTCTCTCCAGCGAAACATGTTGACAAGCTTCTGGATTGCTCGGTGTTCGGGGCAGATTTGATTTGTTTTGCTTGGCCGGTTGTTGTTCTTTTCCTTGGCGCCGATCATGTTTGGGGTAAGTGTTAGCGACTATCGCCTGTCTTGGGTGTAAACCTGGGAAGTCATGGGAGAGCCCCGAGGCTCACTCACACGTTGGCCGTATCAGGTGCGGCTGAAAGGGGTGCCCGTCAACAACGTGGACCGCTCCGTGGGTGGCATCCTGAGCTTTGAGGCCTGGAAAACACGCGAAATGAAAGTTTGGGACGGTGGGGTGACTTGGCATTGAGAGAACATTAATGCCGTTCCAGGGCTGTCCTTGTAAGACTGCTTTACTGAACATGTTTTTTTCAAGGCATGATGTTGTTCTTAATCTTCTTGCGTGTAGAGGTACGCATTCACCCAACACGGTGCTTGGCTCAAGGCTTTGGCCCCGGCATTCTATTTGCTTTGCTTGTTGCCTTCTTGCTCTGTCTGCTTTGCGCTGCGCTTTGCTGCTGCTTGGGTACTTCACGTGTTGAGCTGGGCGATCTTTTAGTTATTTGTTGCGCCGCTTTGCCCTTAGAACTGGAGGAGACAGGCTTGGGCCTGCTTGCCTTCCCGATTTTACCAACCCTGCTTCCATTAGGACTCGTGGCAGATGCCACGACTGGCCGGCCGAATTTACCCTCCTGACATGTGGTCGGACCAATTTTCCCCGACGCGTTGTCAGTCCAGTAATACTTGCGCAGAAGACCTTTCTTCTCGGGTGGTGGTGAGCCCGTTATCGCGCCTGAAGTTCCATCCTTGCAGCTGACCTATTGAAAATAGGCAGGCTAGATTGGCAGGCTGTGTGGGAATCCGGTGATAATGCCACTGGCGGCGGTTTCTCCAAACGGCCTGTTGAACGTGAATCGATCAGGTGACGTTGCATCGATACTGGGCAGGGGCCCTAAACGCAAATACTTTGATTTGTCTATTTGAAGGAATCAAGCAATCAAAGGCAGTAGTGATCCCTTGCTCCAAACCCAAGCGGGTATGAGCCTAATGGGCCCAAGGTTCCGATGAACTCAGGGATGCTACAGTAGCCCACTCAGCCTGAGCCCCTTAATCGGGGAGCCCGCGCTGTTGTCCCGAAGCATACCACGGCTAAAAAAGATGTTCTCATTCAAACACGACATGTATGAAGGCTGCATCAACTGCCATGAAAATGTCTCAAGAAACTCGGGGCAGAACGCCGGAGCTAAACCAGAGGGCGGCAGCTGAAGTTGAAAGTTTCGGCCACCTTGCGTGACAAGGCAGGTATTGACGACGTTGTTCAGCCCATCACCCGCGCTCAAGGCGTATTCGAATTCTTGTCTGACAGGGTGGCCGGGCTGGTCGCCCAAGTCGCAAAGAATCTCTCGCCAGCACGGATTTTCTAAAAGGTTGATCAGGACTGGCGTACCACTGGGCAGTGTGCCAAGTCCGTGAAACAGCAACTTGGTGACACGCGGAGTTATCCATGCGCAACACGTGAGGAGCGTCTGCGGGGGAAGGAAAACCACGGGTTGTAAAGGTCTGCTTCAATGCAAGTATGATGATGATGGTTGGTCTCATCTCCGGCCAGAGTTGTTTGCAAAGGCTTCAAAGCTGTGTCTGTGAAAACTGCTTTTCGTTTACTGACGGCTTATTTGGCCACTCGCTCCCGCGACGGACCCCGATGTGGCGTGTGCAGGGATGAAGGGCGTCACATGTCAATTCTGCAAGGCGTTCTACTGCACCCGACACCCTGCAGGACCGGTTGATTACAGAAGGTTAGGGCACGTCAAGGGTGCGTGCTGTCTTGAATGCCTGAGGCGTGAAACTCGGCAACACACAGCTTTGTACGCAACAGAGCAGTCCAGTCCCGCAATCTGACCCTACTATATGACTGGACTTTTCAGAGATCCACCCAACAACTTCTTGTGCGGATTCGGGCGGCTCTGGAGCGTTGCGCTTGCGGACTTTGTCAGGCAGTGGCAACAAAAACTGCTGTTTTCTGCTGCGGTGGCAGCCAATTAGGAACCTTCCGCCATGAATGGCAACGGAGGGTTTCTTTTTGATTGCCGCAGGTTGTTTCATGACGTGCTTGGCTTTGCTTTTGGCCTTGGCAGCAGCCGTGAAAGTCCTTCGGTCAAAGCCTTTCTTGGACACGGACGCGCGTACCCCGCCGAACTCAACGATTCCAGGAGAGAGGGTAGAAGTTGCACTGCGCACACACATGTCACATAAGGCAACAGAGTTACAGTGTTTGAACAGGTCACCAGCAACCTTCATGTCTCAAAGGCAAGGAAGGCACTCCAGGCTGCAAGCAAATCTCGCGGTCTTGTGCTGAGTCAATGGAGTCTGCAGTCTGCCCCGCAACATGTGTTGCAAAATCTTGTGGAACTTTGACGCTCGCCAAATACATTGTTCGCACCCAAGCAGTCAGATTGACACTCTGACCACCGCAAAGACTGTTCTGAAAAGGCGTGTAACTCATTTTCCAGCTGCTCAGCCTGGTGCGCCGCAAACCGGGGCCGCCTTCCACCTGCTGAATGTTGTCAGAACAACTGAAGCAGCGCCTGCGAAAAAAGCCGTGCTTGTCGAGGTACTTGGCGCACTTCCTTTCAGTCCATGAGACGGGAAGGCTACCTAGTCCAGGGGCCATAGCTTCTTTCCAACGAGAAGTTTCACGGTGCCGGCATCTTCTGCTGCCCCTTCATTGCCCTGCATGAAAAGTTGAAGCTGCACAATGTCTGGCCTAATGTAATTGACGGCTTCGGCGCTGTCGCAATGTATGTCCAGCACATCCAGCGAAGTTCACGAACTAACGCGCTCCTGCACCTGCTCATCTGTCAATCTGTCAGCCTGCACAGCTGCCCCACAGCCTGGACCTCAATTGCCCGGACCAGACAGCAAGAGCAGCGCGTCGAAGAAGTCATCCTGTACTCGTGCATTGGTGCTTGGCAAATGGCGGCGACTGAAACCTGGCAGGTGGAGGTTGCCAAGCTCCTGTGAACCGGGCCAGTGCTGGCAGCACCGCCTCCCATGTGTGGGGAGCCGCAACGCCCGCCGCAGCTCGAAAGCAGCACGCTTGACCACGCAGTCCATGCTGCTCAAGAACACCGGCCTCTCTCAGCGCAAGGCAACACATCGCCTCATGCGCCCTCCTGCAAGGTTCCGGACTCCGAAAAGTACGGCTACAGAGAAGATGGATCCACGAGACCCGAGGGCCCAAGGTCCTCCATGCAACGGAACTCACGAACCGATGCCGATGGGCCGTGGCTCTCTCTCCGGAAAGAACGGGCACGCTGTGTGGACGACGTGCCAGAGGTGCCGCATGCGGATTTCCGCCAATCGCCTTTTCTGGCAAAACTTCGATGGCCCCGGCAGCTTGAGGCGGCGCCAACATGGACACCCATCTTTCCGGGGACGCGAGTGTCTTTGACCCGCAACTTAGACAAGCCGCACTCGTTTGTCAACGGCATGATGGCCACAGTGCGTCGGATGCGGCGAGGGCCTGTGTGGCACCTTGAGATCCCGCCTGCTTTTGGACGCTACCTCGCACACCAGGCCCAAGCGCGAGAACATCTGGGACTGCGCTTGCGCAGCAGGCACGCTGACCAGCCTCCGCGCCACTTGCAGGTAAGTTATGAGCGCAGCGTTGTAGATCTTGCGTGCGTGCCCCAGCTGCTGCACATTGGCCCTGCCCAGTGTAGCTTTACGGCAGCATATAGGGCCATCATGGAGACACACACATGTAAACACGCCGAGATGCAAGACTACGCCAAAGCTCCTAGTAGGAACCCCGATATGATCCGCGTCCTGCGCAAGCTTGCGCAGTCAAGGATGACGACAGCGCACGCAGGAAACCACATGTCCATGCATGCCTGCTGCTTGCTTGCATGTTTGATTTCATCATGTGGCTTCAGCATGCATGGTTTCATCATGCGTGGTTTCGTCATGCCCCACCCACCCTTGCTCGCAATGACACGTGCCTACAAAAGGCTAATCAAAGTGCCTGCGGATTGCAACGCTGCAATGGGACCCCCAAATTGCATGATGCTTGCAACTAAAACTTACCATTGAAATCCCAAAGGCTCTAACCCCCAGCTCGTGAGCAATCTGAGCTGCCACGCTCGGTGATTCCAAGGAGCCGCCCCATGCGACCCGTGCGTCGCGCACCTGCTCAGCTACACGGGGCCTTCGTAGCCAGCGCGCGCCAGATAAAGGTTATACACATTTTGCGCACGCTCTGCCCAAAACGAGAAAGAACATTCTTTGATAATTCACTACGAAGGCAAGATTCGATCCCGTCACAGAAGCGTTGGAAGACCGAACAGACATGGGGGAGTCCAACATGATGTAGCCACCGCAGGACACAGCATGGCGCCTTGGAGACCTAGACTGGAAGCTCTCGTGGTGGAGCGTGCAACGACCAACTGCGAAAACCCCACACAAACCTCCCTCCCCGTCTCACCAACATATTGGTTCAATCGCCCTGTCCTGCCGCACCCTGAAGAAGGAGAAATGGGGGGGGCGTGGGGATGGTAGCGACAACACCCACGGGCACCGCTGCCGTAACTGCTCAGCGGCATGGATACCTCTTCCTGCGCTGCTTTTGCTCTTTCTCTTGTGCTTTTGCTGAGGCTTGCTGGGCACTCGTGCTCACTGCTTCGTGTTGCTTGGCTAGCTGACCCCTTTTACTTGGACTCCCACATTGACGTGCTTGCTCTGTCTGACACGGACCCTGTGACTGGTTTTGTTCGTTCCACCTCCTCCTTGTCTTGTCGGGCCCCTCTTGATTTTGATCTACTGGCCACGAGTTTACCTTGCCTCCTCAACGCTTGGCTCACTTACCTTTCTTCTCTTCAAGGTCCTGCTCCGCTGCACGTCTGTGCTGCTGCATTTGTGCTGCCCCGTCGAGTGCTCCACTTGCGTGAGCATGCAGCCATGGCAGTGCCTCAGCTAACTGGCCCAGAGGAAGAAAGCTGGCGAGGTCACGCAGATTTCAACATGTCCCTGGGCTCCGAAAAGCCGGTTTACTTTGACATGTTTTGGTGTTTGAGGGGGGGTTCTCGAGTGTAGACTTCTAAGGAGCTTTACGGAATTTAAGTGACTTGGGTGGCCTCCAGGCCCATTCCGTGACTTGGGTGGCCTCCAAACGGAAAGGCTCGGGTGTCTTGCTTGTGGGCGGTGACCAGCGATGTGAATCCTTGGCTGGGCAAATAAAACGCCAGATGAGACGGTCTAACAAGTTAGGCAGAAGCAAGTCAAAAGGAGCCACAGAACACGTGGATCTTTTGTCTTCTTTGTTCGTCGGTCAGAAACCTGGCCTGATGAATGTGTTGAAGGCAGTTGTGTGCTTCAGAAAATCCATGCAAGACACTTGCGCGCCTCAGCAAGTTTTGAATGACTTGAGCTGGCTGAGCTGTCCATGAAGGTACAAAAAGAGTGAGAATTCATCTGCGCGATGTGCCACGCCTGCCATGCGAGCGTTGCCAAACGGCTCGTTCGGCAACGCTGAAGTTGACACTTTTGGACAAGCATGTTGCCACCTTTTCAAGCTCCTGTGCTACCACTCCTGCAGAGACAACGTTGAGGTAGGTGTCTTTTGTATTGCTGTTTACCATTGTTTTTGTGTTCTGTTCGAAGGATGCCCAACTTCTCCCCCAACTTGTTTTTTAGTGATTGATGGCAAAAGCCGACGCTTGCAAAAGCGCGGCAAGACATGGCGATTGAGCCAACATATTGCGTCGCACACACACACAACACACAACACGCGCAACACACACAACCCACAAAGTTCAACACACAACAGACAACGCGCAACGCGCAATAGACAGACAACGCGCAACAAGCAAAATCAACACGCAACGCATCACATACAAAGTTCATCACACAACAGACAACGCGCAACAGACAACACGCAACACACACACACACAACGCACAACCTACAAAGCTCAACGCGCGACAGACAACGCGCAACAAGCAAAATCAACGCACAACACATCACACACAAAGTTCAGCGGACAACAGACAACACGCAACACACACACAACACCTAAAAAACAAAGTTCAACAAACGACAGACAACGCGCAAAAATAAAAATTAAGCGCACACGCACACACAACACAACACATACAAAGTTCAACGCGCAACAGACAACGCGCAACAGACAAGACGCAACACACACACACAACGTACAAAGTTCAACGCGCGACAGACAGACAACGCGCAACAAGCAAATTCAACACGCAACGCATCACATACAAAGTTCATCACACAACAGACAACGCGCAACAGACAACACGCAACACACACACACAACGCACAACTTACAAAGCTCAACGCGCGACAGACAACGCGCAACAAGCAAAATCAACGCACAACACATCACACACACAAAGTTCAGCGGACAACAGACAACACGCAACACACACACACACAACACATAAAAAAATAAGCTCAGGCGATACCCCCAACAGCACCACACCCTCCCAGAATCCTCCTCGCGGAACGCCCCGCGACCGGTTTTGCTGAGGATGCCGCGTTGTAACTTTGTAAAGCAAAGCTAAGAGTGACAGCGCAATCGCGCCCTGATCGGGGCCCGACGGCGCAATCGGGGCCCAATCGGGGCCCGATCGGGGCCCGACGGCGCAATCGGGCCCGACCGGGGGGCCGATGCTCCCGTGGTGCAAGCGGGCTCCCATCAACCCCAGCCACATATTATAGCTCAACGCCGGTTTTTTGTATCCAGCAAAAACTAGGCCATGCCAGCTTGGTACAGTTGACGCGGCTCGGGGCCCGACGGCGCAATCGGGCCCGATGAACCTTTCCTCAGGGCTGCCCCATAGCTTTTGCAGAACCTGGTGGAAACCTTGTGGAGCGTTTAAGTGTTCCGCCCATGAGCAAGGCGATCTTCTGAGCAGACGACGGGCGCACGACACATTGTTTTTCTTTAGGGCCAACCATGGAACCTTGCGGAACCTTTGTGGGACCTTTTGGAGCCTTGTGGAAATTTTGTGGAATCCTCGCGGAACTCTGTGGAACCCTTTGAAACCTTACCTCGCCCCGGACCATCCCACACCCCTCGCAGAACCTTGACCACTCCGCAGCCCTTGCAGAACCTGGTGCAGCAATGGTGGAACCCTGGTCGAACTTTGGCGGAGCTTTTGTGGAACCTTCTCAAACCACCCCGGACCACCCGCCCCTCGCAGAACCTGGTGGAACCCTGGTGGAACCCTGGTGGAGAACTGTTGTGGAACCTTACCTCACCTCAAACCACCCCGGTGGAACCTAAACCACCCCGGACCACCCCGCAGCCCTTGCAGAACCTGGTGGAAGCCTGGTGGAACCTTACCTCAAACCACCCCGGACCACCCCGCAGCCGTGGAACCCTGGTGGAACCTTCGTGGAACCTGACCTCAAACCACCCCGGACCCCCCAGAGCCCTCGCAGAATCTGGTGGAACCCTGGTGGAACCATCGTGGAACTTTATCTCAAACCACCCCGGACCACCCCGCAGCCCTCGCAGAACCTGGTGGAATTTTGGTGAACCCTCGAACCTTGCCTCAAACCACCCCGGACCACCCCGCTGCCCTCGCGGAACATGGTGGAAGCCTGGTGGAACCCTCGTAGAACCTTACCTCAAACCACCCCGGACCAGCCCGCAGCCCTTGCAGACCCTGGTGGAACTCTGGTGGAACCCTCGTGGAACCCTCGTGGAACCCTCGTGGAACCTTACCTCAGGGCCGCCCCGGACCACCCCGGACCCTATCTGGGCTGAGACCCCAAAGCTTTCGGCTGTTGGGGAAAAACAAAGTTCAACAAACGACAGACAACGCGCAAAAAGAACAATTATGCGCACACGCGCACGCAACGCAACACATACAAAGTTCAACGCGCAACAGACAACGCGCAACAGACAAGACGCAACACAAACACACAACACACAACATACAAAGTTCAACGCGCGACAGACAGACAACGCGCAACAAGCAAAATCAACACGCAACACATCACATACTAAGTTCATCACACAACAGACAACGCGCAACAGACAACACGCAACACACACACACACAACACACAACCTACAAAGCTCAACGCACGACAGACAACGCGCAACAAGCAAAATCAACCCACAACGCGTCACATACAAAGTTCAGCGCGCAACAGGCAACGCGCAACAGACAACACGCAACACACACACACACACACACACGCAACACACAAAAGACAAAGTTCAACACACGACAGACAACGCGCAAAAAAAGTAAACACACACACACACGCAACACATCACATACAAAGTTCACCGCGAAACAGACAATGCGCGACGGACAAGACGCAACACACACACACAACACACAACATACAAAGTTCAACACACAACAGACAGACACCGCGCAACAATCAAACTCAACATGCAACACACATTATGCAAAGCTCAACACACAACAGACAACGCGCAACACACACACACACACACACGCACACAACACACATCACACAAAGCTGAGCACGCAACAGACAACGCGCAACAGACAACACACAACACACACACACACCCGCACACAACACACATCACACAAAGCTCAGCACGCAACAGACAACGCGCACCAGACAACACGCAACACACACACACACGCACACAACACACATCACACAAAGCTCAGCGCGCAACAGACAACGCGTAACAGACAACACGCAACACACACACACACACACACGCACACAACACGCATCACACAAAGCTCAGCACGCAACAGACAACACGCAACAGACAACACGCAACACACACATGCACACAACACACATCACACAAAGCTCAGCACGCAACAGACAACGTGCAACAGACAACACGCAACACACACACACACGCACACAACACACATCACACAAAGCTCAGCACGCAACAGACAACGTGCAACAGACAACACGCAACACACACACACGCACACAACACACATCACACAAAGCTCAGCACACAACAGACAACGCGCAACAGACAACACGCAACACACACACAACACTCATCACACAAAGCTCAGCACGCAACAGACAACGCGCAACAGACAACACGCAACACACACACACACACGCACACAAGCTCAGCACGCAACAGACAACGCGCAACAGACAACACGCAACACACACACACGCACACAACACACATCACACAAAGCTCAGCACGCAACAGACAACGCGCAACAGACAACACGCAACACACACACACACGCACACAACACACATCACACAAAGCTCAGCACGCAACAGACAACGCGCAACAGACAACACGCAACACACACACACACACACGCACACAACACACATCACACAAAGCTCAGCACGCAACAGACAACGCGCAACAGACAACACGCAACATACAACGCGCAACAAGCACACACACACACACCACGCAACGGACAAAATTCAGCACACGACGGACATGGATCCTCGGGCCTCGCGAGGTGAGTAAGAAGTACGGCGCCAAGGGCCTGCCGGAGGGTACGTTGCAGGTTGGCTTTCTGGGCAGTAGCGGCCAGTCGTTTGGGAACTTCCTGGCGCCAGGTGGGCTGGGCGGGCTGGGCGGGTTGCGTATTGAGTGGGTTGGCTTGCAAGCGGGGTTAGTTGGAGCCTTCACCGGATGGATGCCGTGCATGTCAATGTGCGCCAGGCATCACTTTCCAGCTTGAGGGAGACGCAAACGACTACATTGGAAAGGGGCTGAGCGGAGGCACCATCATTGTCTACAAGCCCAAGCAGGCTTGGAAACGAAAATGTCTTTGCAATGCCAGACTTCCATTTTCCACACGCTTATGCAATTTCTCCAAGCATTGCTGCTCGCTGTCCTTGATCTTCTCCTTCGCAAGCGCCGGCACTGGCGGGGACTCCGAACGACTGCGCTTATTCCGAGGCGACCTACGCCTCCCAGGACAGCATCATCGCGGGCAATGCAGCGCTCTACGGCGCCACATCTGGCAAGGCCCAGGGATGAGACCGTTGTTTGGGGCGCGGAAGGAACAATGCAGTGCGGAGTGGCGGCATGCTCTTGAAGGTTCCTTCCGGACCTTCATCAAGGGTTTTGGGTGCGTTGAGTTGATTGTGTGGTGGGGTTCCGTGTTCTTGTTTGGAGAAGAGTGACTCCCCAATGACGAGAGGAAACTCAGCATTCACTGGCACCCTGTTTTTTTGCTGATTGCTTGAATGCGAGCAAGCTGGATGCCCGAGCTTGAAAACACTGGAGGCCTCATGCTGAGGCACTCACAATTGCTCTAGAATGCTGTGCTGCCAAACCACCCGGACCCGAAGGAGAGGGGGGGTATGTGGCAGGGAAGATTAGGTCCTATGTGGCGTGCGCGCGCGGGATGATTGTTTCCCCCAAAGTGGCACGCGCGGGGGGGATGTTTCCCTCACTCATGATACACCTACACACACACACACACACGCGCGCGCACGCACGCACGCACGCACGCACGAGCGCAAGCACGCACGCACGCACGCACGCACGCAAACACAAGCAGAGAGAGAGAGAGAGAGAAACTGAGAGCACAAAGGGCACTCAAACAGAGTGTCAAGCAATACACACACACACCAAGTACACTAACACAAACAAAACGCCCTTTTTCTTTTTAATTTTCGAATCATTCTAGAAACTCCCAAAGGGGCAGGGGACTGTTGGGGAATTCCGAAACAATTTCTTCTAGCTTATTGAAATTTATACTTGTTCTATTTATTACCCAAGGGACGGGCGCGCTCTGGGGAATTCCAGGTGCATTGTCCTAATTCTTACAGCTATTCTGATTATTACATATTTTTCACCAAGGGACGGGTGCCCTTTGGCGAATTCCAGATTCACGTGTTTTCGAATCATTCTACGTGATTGTATATTTATTCGCAAAGGGGCGGGTGCATTTTGGGTCAAATGTGTTCGAGTTAGTCTACTTCTCATAGCAATCATCACTCTCTGATGTATTCCCACAGGAGGGTACCTTTTGGGGAAATCAACATTCATGGTTGATCTAATTATTTTACTCATTCTAACAACTTAAGCAAATCTACAGATTCTCGTTGTTTTCAAGCCATTTGGTGAAGTCCAGTGTGGTTTCCAGGTCATTCTGTTCTGATTATTCTGGTTGTAGCACGCATTCCCAATGGCACGGGGCCCCTTGTGGGGAATCCGCCCCTAATTAGTTCCTTTGTTCTAGCTATTCCCAAGGAACGGGTGACTGGTGCCTTTTCGGAAATCCCAATTCCAGATTCATGTGTGTTTCAACTATAGTATTCTAACTAATCAACTTATTCTCATTCTAATCATTCCCAAAGGGGCGGGTGCGTCTTGTGGAATTCAAGATCCATGTTCGCCAGCTATTCTACTTATCATAACTATATTACTTGTTCTAATTATTATAATTCTTCCCAGAGGGACGGGCTGCTGTTGGAGAATTCCAAACCCATCTTTGTCCTACTGTCTTAATTATTGGGTATGCTTCCCCACAAAATTACAATTATTCTCATTTATATACTTATTGCGAAAGGGGCGGGTGCCTTTGGGGGAACTCCAGATTTATGTTTGTGCTAATTATTTGAACTAATCTAAGTATTCTACTTCTTCCAAAAAGTGGGGTGCCTTTTGATGAATTCCAGATTCATGTTTTCTATCTATTCTACTTATCATAACTCTTCTAATTCTCATCATTATTCCCAAAGGGACGGGTGACTTTTGGGGAATTCAAGAGGTCTGATTGCTAAGTATTCTACTAATCATTCTATATTATTCTAATTGAATCCCTAGGGAGCTGGGGTGCGTCTTGGGGAATTCCAAGCTCGTGTTTGCCCTGGGTAGGATAATTGTGTCAAAAGGGATGGGGCCTGTTGGTGGCGAGATTCGTGGTTCCCGCATTGTTCAAACTATTCGAGCCATTCCCAAATGAGCAGCTCCCATTTAGTAAGTTCTAGATTATTTCCCTATTTTCTATTTGGTCCCAAACAGGAAGGTGCCGTTTAGTGAGTTCAAGATTCACGTTTGCTGATTAGTCTACTTATCATCAGTCTTGTAAAATACTACTATCATTATTATTTACAAGGGACGGGCACCTTTGTTGTTCTAGGTACAACAATTACTACACAAGAGGTGGGTGCCTTGTACGTCTTCCCATTATTCTTGTCATTCCCAAAGGGGGGGGTGCTTGCGAGGAATTCCAGATTCTTGCTTTTTCCAATTCTTTATTCTCCAAATGGGGGAACTTTCAGATTCATTGTTTCTCTAACTACTCTACGTACAATATGTTCTGTTCTTGGGCGTGCCCAAATTATTCCAATTATTCCCAACGGGACGGGTCCCTTTTGAGAAATTCCAGATTCATTTTCTAGTCTACGACATCTACTCATGAACTTATTATAATCATTCTTCCCAAAGGGACGGGTGCCTTTAGGGAATCTCCAGATTCATGTTTGTTTTAATCTTTCTAGTTATTCTAAATGTTCTGTTGTTTCTTATAATTCCCAAGGGGGCGGGTGCTTTTGAGGAATTGAAGATTCATGTTTTGCATACTAGCCTACTTCTCATCGCCATGATTTCTCCTTATTCCAAGAGAGGCGTGCGCCTTTTGGGGAATTCCAGGTTCATAGTTTTTTTTCAGCTGATTCTACTTCTGATATATTTTTCTCATGATTATTCTCATTCCCAAAAAGACGGGAATTCCAGGCTCTTGTTTTTGCAACTGGTCATTCCCAAATTTGGGGGAAATTCTGATTCATGGTCTCTCTCTTATTCAACTTCAGGTGTTTTGGAACTACCCGCATTGTCCAAGTATCGCCAACGGGGCGGCCCTTTTGAGGAGTTCCAGATTCATTGTCTGCTACACTATTCTACTTTTTATGATCAGTCTTCTCAAAGGGACAGGTGCCTTCTGGGAATCTCCAGGTTCATGTGTGTTCGATTATTCTAGTTGTTCTATCTGCTCTAATTTTCTAATTACTCCCACAGGGATGGGTGCCCTTGGGAAATTGAACATTCATGCTTGGGAAATGTTGTCTACTCATCGCAGCTATTATAATGATTATTCTTATTCCCAGAGGGACAGGTGCCTTTTGTTGAGCTCCAGAATCATGTTTGTTTTTCAATGTTTTCAATGATTCTAGTTCTGATAACTGCTCTATTTATTCTTGGCATTCCCAAAGGGACAGGTGCCTGTGGGGAATTCCAGATTCTTGTTTTTCAATTTCTTCATTCCTCAAATTGGGAAATTTCAGACTCATAGTATCTCTAATCCTTCTACTTCAGATATTTTCTGTTTTTGGAAGTACCCGGATTATTTCAATTCTGCCCAACGGGACGGGTCCCTTTTGAGGAATTCCAGATTCAATCTACTCATGAACTTATTATAATCATTCTTCCCAAAGGGACGGGTGCTTTAGGGAATCTCCAGATTCATGTTTGTTCTAATCTTTCTAGTTATTCTACATGTTCTGTTGTTTCTTATTATTCCCAAGGGGGCGGGCCTTTGAGGAATTGAAGATTCATGTTTTGCATATTAGCCTACTTATCATCGCCATGATTTTCTCCTTATTCCAAGAGAGGCGGGCGCCTTTGGGGGGATTCCGGTTCATTGCTTTTTTCTCTTGATTCTGCTTCTTGTTCTGATCATTCTCATTCCCAAAGGGACGGGAATTCCAGGCTCTTGTTTTTGCAACTGGTCATTCCCAAATTTGCGGACATTTGGGGAAATTCGGATTACTACCCGCGTTTCCAATTATTGCCAACGGGGCGGGTCCCTTCTACTTCTTATGATCAGTCTTCTCAAAGGAACAAGTGCCTTCTGGGAATCTCCAGGTTCATGTGTGTTCAATTATTCTGGTTATTCTAACTGCTCTAATTTTCTAATTACTCCCACAGGGACGGGTGCCCTTGGGAAATTGAAAATTCATGTTTGGGAAATGTTGTCTACTCATCGTAGATATTATAATGATTATTCTTATTCCGAGAGGGGCAGGTGCCTTTTGTTGAGTTCCAGAATCATGTTTGTTGTTCAATGTTTTTAGTGATTCTACTTCTGATAACTGCTCTATTTATTATTGTCATTCCCAAAGGGACAGGTGCTTGTGGGGAGTTCCAGATTCTTGTTTTTCAATTTCTTCATTCCTCAAATTGGGAATTTCAGACTCATAGTATCTCTAATCCTTCTACTTCAGATATTTTCTGTTTTTGGAAGTACCCGGATTATTTCAATTCTGCCCAACGGGACGGGTCCCTTTTGAGGAATTCCAGATTCATTTTCTAGTCTAGCGCTACTTATCAACTTGTTATAATCATTCTTCCCACAGGGACGTCGTTCCCAAAGGGACGGGTGCCTTTGTGGAGTTGAAGATTCATGTTTTGCAAATTAGCCTACTTATCATTGCTATTTTTGCGTCTACTTATTCCAAGAGGGGCGGGTGCCGTTTGGGGAATTCCAAATTCATAGCTTTGCACCTTCTGATAATTGCTCTATGTATCATTCTCATTCCCAAAGGGTAGGGTGCTTTTGGGGAGGTCCAGAGTTCCACATTCATGTTTTCCAAACAATTGCTTCCAGGGGGGGAGAATTCCAGATCCATATTCTTGCTAATGATTGTACTTATCATAATGATTTGATTTAGTCCAATGGTTCCCAACGGGATGGGCCCCTTTCAGGAATTCCAGATCTATTATCTAATCCAATGATTCTCATGGTTCATAATCATGCTAAGTATTCTAATTATTCTCAAAGGGACGGGTGTTTTCTGGGGAGTTAAAGGTCAATCGCTTGGTACTTATTCTATTTCTCAAAGTTGGTCTAATTTGCCTAATTACACGAATCTTTGAGAATCGTGTCAATATTTGGAAAACCGCACCTTATCTTGTCTAACTATTATTAACCAACCTGATTTGAACAACTAGTCGACTTAGAATATGTCTTATAAAGGCAAAATGCTTTCTACTCGAATATGTTCAAAGGGACGGGCCCCTTTTGGAGA